ATTTTCACCTGTGCTTTAAATTTATATAAAACCAACGATGTGGTTTTTGGGAGGTGGTGCAGCAGTGATGTTGTGTTGCTGCTGCTGGAGTTTCTCTCTTTAAGTCAAAAACAGACGCCAGAGGAACACAGTCACATCTGCACAGGAGGACATACCTAACCGACCAATCACAGTCATCGTGGTCGACACAACATGCAGCTACATTTTCATGTTTGTATGTGACAGCGTTACAGGATCCCTCCGAATGTGAAGCTGACATGGAAAAAATAAATTTTAAATAGGAAATTTTTTATTTTTAATCTAACTTTTGGGGGGTTTTTTTAGCATTGAAACAAAGTATAAAGCTTCTTCTTGTGTTTATTTGTTTATTTTATTTGACAATGCTAAGATCAGTATAACAGATGTGCTGCACACAGTAGATGATTTGTTGCTTTGGGCACTTCTTAAGCTTTTTATCTTAAAATGTCAGACTGTAACTTCACTGCTGAGCCTCGAGTTAAACTGTCTGTGGAGGAAACTTCACACTGAGCTGAGGAACAAACTCTTCATCATCCTCAGCAAACAGCAGAGTCTCATCCAGTGATGAAAACAGACACCAGAATTCCTCACAATGTCCCAACACAAGCACCGAGATGGTTTTTGCTCCTTTATCATCATCATCATCATCATCATCATCATCATCATCATCATCATCATCATCATTAATATTATTATTATTATTGTACTTTTTTCTTTTATTATGTTTCCCGCAGTCATGTGCATCTTGTGCCAGATTGTTGTGCACCAACATGCTGAATAGAAATCACTTTTTTGCAGTTCTTCATAAATCTGAATTTAAAAAAAGAGTTTTTTCATCCTGACATCTATCAGCTTCATGTCTATGTTCACTGTTGCCGTCCAATAAAGGCAAAATGCCAAAGAAGTAATGTTCAAAAATAAGGTTTGATGCTGATACCTCTTCATGCCACTTTATATGAAACAGCTCATCTCATAAATCAACCAGCAGAGGGCGACGGGGAGCCCGTCCATCCAATGCTTTCCCTTCTCTTCAAATAGAAAATAACTTCTCACTACTGTGTAACATCTGTCCGTGACTGATAGTCAACTGTGTGCTGTTCGCTTTCACAGCACTAACAGTGTGTTTACAGGAGGTACTGCACGGTGGATCAATCTGATGCTATTTTTCTGTGTTCATGACTCCATCAGTTTTAACAAGATCACCAACAGCACCGGCTGAAATGAAGCTCCAACCCACAACAGAGCCTCCGCCCTGTTTTACAGCAGTAGAAGCTCACTGTTGTAACCTCTTCCTCCAAACATACTGAAATATATATCTAAATATATATATTATTATTATGTATATAGTTATTTATCTATATACTGATGATGATTTGAACCAAAACTGTAAAATTTGGATTCGTCACATTATAAGATCTGTTGCAATTTTCAGTGCAGTTCTTGTGTAATTTGAAATGCTGCCTTTTCATGCATAGTTTTTCTTTAGACCTGATACTTCTTCTCTCCTCGACTTCTCCTGTTTCCACTTTAACCTGAGTTTTGAGCTTTTAAGAATCACTTTGTTGGTGCAATAACATTATACCATAAAATTTATTTATGAGGCACTTTAACATAAAACCAGAGTTGACAAAGTGCTGTACATGCAAATAGCATAAGCAAAGTAAAAATAAAATAAAACTAAGATAAAATAAAATAAAACATGTTAAAACAAATTGAGTCAGTCCCCTTAAACAGTGCCAAAGGCTTCAGCAAATAAACATGCTTTAAACTAAAAATAAAAGAGGCCTTCCTAACGTGTAGATCGTTCCACAACATTGGAGCAGCTACTGCAAAAGCACCATTAAGAGATTTAAAAACAAATAAGAGAATTTTAAAAACAATCCTAAAATGTTTCAGGTAGCCAGTGGAGTTAAATTAAAATGGGGATAATGGGCTCAGACTTTTTTGTTCCAGTTTAAAGACGCGCTGCAGCATTTTGCACAACCTGCAGACGCCTAATGGACGCATCACTAACCCCACAGTAAAGTGCGTGACAATAATCCAGCCTAGATGTAACAAAGGCATGAATTACTGTCTCAAAAAGCTGTTTTGATAAGATGGGCTTTATTTTGGCTGATTGCCTCAAATGAGAAGCCATTTATCTTTTTAAGTGGGAAATAAATCTGGGAGTTTGTGTCTGTCAAACTGTGAAATCTTTGGCAGGTTTCCTAAATTTAACTAAAGAAATGTGAACAAATGTGTGGTTGTGACAGACTTCAGGTAACAAAGTCTCTAAAGTTACAGTTTAACATTGGTTCTCTGCTTAATTGAAAAATGTGTATAAACAAACTGGTTGATCCCTTGAATAAGTTCCTTTTAATGCCTGAATGATTCAGGCTCAGCTAATAGGACTGTGTTAAAATGAGTGTAAAAGTAGCCAATGTCCAAAGACAAACCTTCATCCTGGAGAACTGTTGCTCACGATCGCGTTTAAAAAATGCCAACAATGTGTCACCGACTGGAGGCAAAATAGGGAGAAATTTATGTTCATAGTTATATATTAACATATAATTTATCACATGAATCTTAATGAATTTAGCGATCCACCACTGTTTGTACGAATGGAGGAAGAAAGCGTGCTCAGAGGAAGAGGGCGGGCTTTACCTGGTGTCAGTGACAGAAATGAAAAAAAGCTCAATCATCTATCAGGTTCTGGTGTGCTTCTTCTTCTTTTCCCTTTTCTTGTTGTCATTGCTGTTCCTGTTTGTCGTTGGAGTTTAATCTCCAGAAAATTGATTCGGGGTCTCCAGATAAAACTCACCAAATAAAAATCCAATAATCAGGATCAAATAATAATCCTAAACTAGAGCTCAGGAGGTTAAACTGAGTCAGACCAACTGTGTTGATGAAGAGATGAACTTTAATCCTGCAGAACTTCAGTCACAACGCAGGTTTTCAACAGGATGAAACCAAAGAGTTTTGTGTGAGTTTTATAATGTGGGATGTTAAATGATACAAAATATGTTTAAATACTGAATAAACTCAAATAAAAGATTTTGACAGATGTATATAAACTTGGTTAAAATGATTTTATATAAAGTTGGACTGTAGGAGAGAAGCTGCTGCTGTCTGAGCCATAATCTGATTGTTTTATTTTAAACAAAGATGTGATTTGAAATAAAGAGATCTGTTATTCAGGGTTTACTTTCTGTGTGGTCTACAGTGCTGTGAAACAGCACGTGTCTCCTAAACTGAATAACTGGTTGTGCGAGCAACAATCAGTCTTTTTGATAACCTGCACTGATCAATGCTGATCTTCGGAGGCCTGTTTCACTACACTTTCCTGGCCATGAAGACCACTGTGCCACGTGTTCTCCATGTGTGGATAACGACTCTCATCATACTTCACTTCCCAGTCTGATAGATGTCAGTGACTTTGTTTCTCAGCTCTTCTGTAGATCGTGGCTTCATGTGTTGCATTTAGACATTTTTGTCCTGCTTCACTTTGTGGGACACGTTCTACTTCAGTGACTCTTGATTCAGCAAGTCTGTCAGCTTCATGTCTATTTTAACTGTTAAAGACAAAATGCCAAAATATAATATCTAAAATTAATTTTTGATGTTATGAGAAAATAAAGTGTGACAAATATGGAAGTAAGAAATCAGTGGGGAGGCTGATACTTAATATGAAACAGCTCATCTCATAAAGTCACCAGCAGAGGGCGATGAGGAGCTGACCTCCTGGTTAAAAGGTCAAGCTGATGCAAGCTCATCCATGCAATGCTTTCCCATCTCTTCAAATACAAAGTAACTTCTCACTAATGTGTAACAACTGTCCATGACTGATAGTCAAATAAGTGTTTTGCTGTCAAAATATGCTTTTACAGCATTGACAGTGTGTTTACACGAGGTCATCCTATGAGTAAATTCCTTTTTATGCCTTAATAATTTATGGGTCGGGTACTAGGAATGTGTTAAAAATAGGTATAAGAGTATGGAACGCCAGGACTGCCATAATGAATTAATTAAATACACCATTAAATAATTAATTAAATGTGTCAATAATTAATTAATTACATGTGTCATAACTCAAGAAGCTTTTTTCTTTTTCCTGGGGAAAAGGAAAAAAAGTTGCTTATCTTAAAAAGAGGAAGTTAAACGTCCGAGTCGTCCATAAACAGGCCATGAATCTAAAGCTGTCTAATTAAATGTGATCTGTTTTAAAATACGATTAATAAATATATTCAGTGAACTCACTCCAGCGTTTTCTCTTTAATTTACTTTAATCATATTTATGTGACACCAACTATTTAAATTCTATCTGTCTGATTGTAACTGAACCTGAACGTCTGACCAATCTGTGACCTGTGGAGACACGAGCCTCGAACCGTTCATAACTGTTTGGAAAATCATAGTTTTGTAATTTTTGTAGGGCTTTAATAAAAGTCTTGCATTATATTATTAAGATCATGTGATTTAAAATGGTGCATTCAGATACATTTTTATATAATTTATGTTTTATTCGGCTCACTTCTGGTTCCCTCTCTATATACGCCCCCGCCACTACACGCTGTTCTTCTTGTCTTCGTGTCCCTCCCTTAATTCATTCGCTTCTCATATGTACACGAGGAGCAGCCACTCTCTGAGGCCTTCCCCAAACTGCAGCCTCAGTTCACGCTGAAGTCATCATCGAGTAGAAATGCTGTCAAACCTAAAACGAGGGCGTGGTCTCAGCAGGCTGAGCAGGTTTTCTTTGTGTTGTGTTTCCAGCAGATTTAAAGACTCAGACTTGAATGTAGGACGACGATATTTGATATTTTTTCTAAATTGCCGAATGAACACATGAACACTCCTGTTATACAGACACTGAGTTTGTGCTTCATTCAGTGGGTTTCTAAGCTGCCGTTTTAAAAGTACTGCTCAAGAATCTAATTCACACTGAAAACAGTGTCTCGCGCCTCGGCAGTGACGTCACTGTGGTGCGGCGTAAACGCCTCAAAAGCACACTGATTAGTGGGTGCATGTTAATTAGTTCTGTTTATACCTGCACCATAAAGGATCCACGGGTCGTGTTTTTCCGGTATATTTTAGACGTATACCGAGTTAAACTAGAATGACTCTGTTAACATCAGCGTGTCTCTGCGTGGCTCTGCTGTTCGTCTGTGTCGTGGATTTGGCTTCCTCAGGTGAGCGCTCCTTCAGGTACTACTTCCTTTTTCTTCATGAACATCTCTCTCCTTTACTGTCAAACTGTCAAATCCCCCCGAGACCCCGCCTGTGCATTATGTCCTGGTAGTGGACAAAAACGGTTAGACCGAAATATACTGTTTTGTTTTTAGAAGGATATATTTATTTTAAAAAGAGTGTACGCAGCTTGTGTAAGCTGCTTCGGGACACCTGAGCTACGAGGCAGGGGTTCGGTCTGGTAAACAAGAAGCCCCTCTGCCCTCCTTTCCTGTCACTTTATCCAGACCACCATAAATGACGTCACAAGCTAAAGGAAAGGTGTGCAGGAGAACTTGCACAGTAATGATTAAGGAACTGACCTCCCAGCCCATTGTTCCTTCACTGGGCTGGTTTCAGTCATTAGCAGATGTACTGTTTATAAGATTGGAAACCTGCAGTGAGCTGAGACTGAAGAAGTCACCTGGATGAGTGACCAAACGTTTCTCCCACTGAAAACGCTACATCCACGTGAACCGAATCAACTTTTGGGATGTGCAGGGACTTTATCAGGAGCAGATCAGAGAAACTGACAGATTTGTAAATCATGTGGGTGTGGCTTGGGGTGTTCTGGCTTGTTTTCCTGTTTGCTTCGGTTGGTTTGTGCAGGTGTGAACACAGTAATCACACTCATGTGTGGACAACCCCACCGAGACCCTCTGAAGGAGCCGGTCTCGGTGGGGTTTGTTTATGGTGTGAACGTGATCCCAACCAGCTGCCAGCGGCGCGTTACAGGTTTGGGTTAAAAACGTCCCGTGGCCACGTGTGCTTTATATTCCCAATACAGGGAGGAAGTACAGATGTGCAAAGGTCTGTCAGCAACCAGGGGTCCGTTCTTCGTACCTCGCTAAGTAAGTTAGCTGGATTTGATTGTTGACGATTTCGCGTGATCTTGGATCGTTCGGTTCCCCGAAGCTCATCCGGGACTTGCTGTCATAGCAACAGAGCCGTAAGCGTAAACCTGCTCGGGAGCAGGTTTACTTTATGTAAACAGGATTAGATCGCGGCCACGCAGGTATGTCCGCTTCATTTATACGAAAGCAACAGCGATATTTCTCCACTGTTTCACCATAAATAAATATTATCAATGTAACTAAAGATAATGCAGCACTTGATCCTTGTATTGATTTCACACAGATACATACAGGTCATTTCCTAAAAAAGGGAAATGTACTATTAATCATTCTCTTTCATGTATTTGATTATTTCAGATGTAATTCATATTTCAGAGTAGTAATTGTAAATTACTTCGTGTAATCAAGATGAGAGACCACGGCTATAAAAGTGAAGGTGGATTTGGGAAGCCTATCGCAGCCATGTCCTGTCCGTTTATGCGAGCCACCCATTGCAGAAGGTGCAAGATTGATAAGGAGAGTCTTCAGAATTCAGTATATATTGCGGGATAGACAGGATCCTTTAGCTCAGCGCGACAGTGTGCTCATAGAGAGATATCGATATTCCCGTGAGGGTATTATTTACTTAACCAACTTGTTGACGAGGGGGTGCAGGACCACCACCTGTCTTTTTTTGCTCTGCCCTTTTCTTGGTTGCTGTTATAAACAAACAGATTATTTCAGGGTCTCTTTTCAAGAGACTAAAAGCAATATAAGTGAACCGGAATAGCGAGCTCAAAGTTGGCGCGATGATTTGATCTTGGATGTAGTAAGCGAGGTACGAAGAACGGACCCCAGCCCTGAAACGACTCCGTTTTCTCACACAGCACACTCGCCTTCTGTGAGTCTGACCAATGAGCGGGCTGAGCGTTCCCACGTGGTTTGTAGCGACGCCTTTTCTCTGTATGTAAACGAATCAAACCAGTTTACAAACTCAACAGCTGACATGCTGACTGTAGACTCCGCCCACCGTGTCCCACCTGATCCCGCTGGAGCAGAAACCGTGAAAGTTTCATTATAAGGTTGCGATTTTAAGGAGCAGGCTGAAAATTCAGCTCCCACATCCTGACGGGACGTTAAAGTAAAGGTCGTGATTTTAAAGAGGAAGAAACGTACAGCTATGAAATGACACCATCGTAAAAACTGCAGCACAGCAACAAACAGGAGGAATGTGATGTTCAATCATCATGAACTTTATTTATGAGGGACTTTAACCTCTGAGAGAAGTGCTGAACACAGGATCAAATACGTCAGAATAAAATATAAATAAATAAAAGAAACACTTCAATTAAAATAATAACACACAATTAAAACTTTGTCTTCTCTGCTAAAGGACATAATAAACCTCGAAGCTCCTTTTTTACTATTTAGAGAATTCAGACAGTTCTGATCCTGGCTGGAGAGACTTAAAGGTCACCTCACTCAGATAGGCAAACTCACCAAGTACAGATGCTTGTGTCCAAACAGGATCAACAAACTGAAAGTAAAATAAGCTTTTGGATATTTTTGGCTTCCTTTTTTTTTGGGACAAATGATAAAATTTCAAATATAAAAATCCTGCTGAAGTAAATACTGTTTGTGATCTGATGGAAACATCCACATTACAACAACAATAATGGCTTCAAGCTGACATTCAGGCCTGTGAGACACAGTTAGACTGTCAGACACTGAGCCGTGACTCTGTGGTGCATCTCACCATTCAAATGCACTTTTATATACTATATTTTATTTAATATTCAACACTGAACTATAAATTGTATTTTTAGTTAAACGTTTTATTCAGTATTTTTATAAAAGTGTATTTTTTTAAACATTTAATACAACCTGTGAGAACACAGGCCTGTGTGTTTGTCCTCCACAGTGGAAAAAAGGCTGAAAATAATCATTTTAGCAGAACCTCATTTTATAAATTCTGCACTCAGCTTTCTAATGTCCTGCGTCTTTGAAATTCAGCACAGCTTGTTTTTCCAGTTTTTCCTTCTTTCTTCTTTCCCGACACGCTCACTTTTAAATCCGTCTCCTCGTTGCTCTCTGTGTGTCTGACCTGAACCACTGCTCTCGCTGTCTTTGGAGTATCTGCAGGATGTATAATATCTGACCTTAGTCTTGCTCTGTATTTCTCCCTTCTCCACACCTTCACTATCTATATGCATGCTGTGTTATTCAGCAGGGAGATCCACAACTCGCTCAGTGCTTTCATAAGATACAAGGACATAAACACTGATTACATACAAACAGGAGTCAAACCTGATAAACTCAGAGGTTTGGTGACTTTGTCCCAAAATAAAGTCCAAGAAGGTTTTTTTTTCTGTCCTCTGTGTCAGCAGATCTCACTGGTCTCTGATCCTCACTCTGATTGGCTCCTGTAGAAGTGAACAGTTGTACTTTGACCTTTAACCTCTCTGCTCTGTGTTGTTTCCTCTTTCAGAGCAGAAAATCATCACAGCTGAGTCTGGACAGAACGTCACTCTGACATGTCGAGCTCCACAAGGCAAACCCATCAGAGCTGTGAAGTGGAGCAGAGCTGACCTGGGAGATAAATATGTGCTTTTGTACCGAGATGAGCTGTTTGATCAAACAAGCCAGCATCCATCTTTTCAGAACCGGGTGGATCTGCAGGACAGACAGATGAAGGATGGAGACGTGTCTTTGATTCTGAAGGATGTGACGATTAATGATGCTGGAACATACGAGTGTCGTGTCATTGTGGGAGAATCAGCATCATGGGAGATCGTGGGAACCGTCAAGATGAGTGTTCTTCCTCCAGGTGAGTGAGCAGAGTTCACTATGTGTGATCAGAGGTGAAGCTGCTTGCTGACGTTGGATTAGATTCTCTTCTGTTCTTCACTCATCATGAATGCTGACACCCTCCTGTTTCTCTCCTGCAGGTCACCAGGGAGACACGGAGGATGGAGGGATAAAGGATATCCCTGTTGGACTTAAAATCGGTCTGTCATTTATTGGTGGGATTGTTTCAGGTTTTCTTTTGTGTTGTTTTGGGATCTTTCTTTGCATTTACTGCAATAATGATGCTGAGATTCGGAGTCAGGAGCTATAAGTCTCCTGACGACCATCACAAGGTTTAAAAAACCCTAAAATGAAAACACAGTTTAAAAACTGATGTTTGTTGAAAACGCCTACAGAAACACATTAAACACATTAAATATTTTTCAATAACAACGATGGTTTAAAAACCCTTAAAAATATTCATATTACGAAGGTAAAAAAATCAATGCATTTATTAAACATATTAAAGCCAGTAGACAAAAATTCTGAGGAGGAGAGCTGAGAGGCACTGCCTTATTAAAAAAAGACCTCATACTTACTATGTCATTTGATCGAGATTTAACCTACTACTTAAGCTACTGCTTAATTTATACGTCTGCTGTAAACTTGTAGAAGCTACGACGTGGCCACTCAAAGTGTTGGGAGGTGTTATTAATGCCTGTGATACTGAAAGTTCACAGTTGCTGTCTGAGTTTATCTCTTTATATTGATCAAATTGTGTTTAAGTCAAAAACTGTCACCAGAAGAACACATAGCCACATATGTATAGGAGGAAAAAGGGCAATTCCTCACGTCTCAGAACAAGCACCGACATGTTTTTGTTCTTTTATTATTATTGTACTTGTTTCTTTTCTAATGTTTATTGTATATAAATGTAGTGCTGGGAAACAGTGAACACCTCCTGAACTGAGTAACTGGTTGTGCCAGTTAGTTGGCAGCTGTCACGCTGATCTTTGAAGAACGGAGTTCAGTCACTCAAGCATCGACGGCTTATTTCACTACACTTTCCTAACCACGAAGCTTCACCACTGTTCCACGTTTTCTCCATGTGTGGATAACGACTCTCATCGTGCTTCACTGGAGAGTCCCACTTCTTTACATCACGTTATATGAAACAGCTCAACTCATAAAGTAACCAGCAGGGGGCGATGAGGAGCTGATCCAATGCTTTCCCATCTCTTTAAATAGAAGTAGCTTCTTACTCATGTGTAACAGCTGTTCATGGCTGATCGTCAACTGTGTGCTGCTCCATCCAAATATGCTTCAACAGTGTGTTTACAGGAGGTACTGCATGGGGGACTCATCAGTTTTAACTAGATCATCAACAGCGACTGAAATGAAGCTCCACAACATGAAACTGTTCACTGATGAGACTTCAGTGAACAGCAGATGAATCAACTGAAGGCTCAGATGCATCTCTCAGGTCCTGTTTCTTCAGGACATGACTTTCACAGACTGTTCATCTGCTGCAGATAGTTGATTTTGTAGGCCTGAAACTTCTTCGTTCCTCTTTCACTTGTCCAGTTTAATCAGATTTTTAAGGACCCACTGCACACTGTACTGAGATACTCCAAGTTTTAAGATATCCCCTAAAGAATCAGATTGTCGGTGCAATTCTATTATTCTGTCTGTCAAACTGTCTTATCTTTGGCAGGTTCCCTAAATCTAACTAAAGAAATGGAAGCAAATGTGTTGTTGGGACAGGTTGCTTGTAATAAAGTCTCTGAAGTTACAGTTTAATGGTTCTTTGCTTATTTGAAAAATTGTTTAGAAACAAAACAGGTTCATCAATTTGAATTTTTATACCTGAATGATTCATGGATCAGGTGCAAGGACTGTTAAAAATATGTGGGAAGGAGCCAAAGTCCAGAGACAAACCTTCATCCTGGAGAACTGTTGCTCAAGATCACTTTTTAAAGAATGTGCAACTGATTGGAGGCAAAATAGGGAGAAAATAGTGTCGGTGTGCTCATAGGTATATATTAGAATAGCTTCATCACATGAATGTTAATGAAGTTAGTGATCGGCCACTGTTTGTATGAATGGAGGAAGAATACGTGCTCAGAGGAAGAGGGCGGGCTTTACTTGGTGTCAGTGACAGAAATGAAAAAAAGCTCAAATGAGTGAGAAGGACGATGAAGGAAACATCTGTGCTGTGTCTGCTCTGTAAGTAGAATCTCTGTGTTTGTTTGGATTCTTGTACTTTGACTGTCTGCTCTCCTGATAACTGATGATGGAGGAGAAGACATGAAAAACAAATCAGGCTGAGTTCAAGTACAAGAACAGTAAAACCAATAGAAAAAAAACTATAAAATAGATTCAGATAAACAGAATAACATACTATGCAAAATAGAAAGAATACTAGACGATAGAATAAGTACTATACAAATACTTTGTTACATTGGGAAAATTGCACTTGGTGCCATACATATGTGTGAGTTTGAAACATGAAATGTGTAGCTGTCTTTAAAGCTTTGTGCTACACATAGTGACCGTTACTCTCTGAGCTGTTTGTGGTTTAAACAGAAACTACAGGAACTCAATTTTTCTGTGTCTGGGGGAAGAAAGTTGCAGCTGTTTCATCAGAAAGCTGCTAAAAAAAAAAGAGGAAGTAAAATGTCTAAAACCTCCATAAACAGGCCATGAATCTAAAGCTGTTTAAAGCCGGTCGGAGCGCACGCGCTCCGTTCTGCATAACTATTTTTAAATCCCCGTAGAATCGGAACCATGTAAACTATGAAGTAAGCTCTGGTAGACTTGGTTCTATGGTCGGTCTTAAAGGGTTAATTAAATATGATTAATAAATACATTCAGTGAACTCACTCCAGTGTTTTGTTTTGTTTTGACTTTTTTATCATATTTATGCAACACCGACATTTCCATCTGTCAGATTGTAACTGACTACTTTTACTCTGCTTTTCTAGTATTTCTACTCACTGACACCTTAATGTTACGTTCAGCTGAGCTTGAACGTGAACATCTGACTAATCGGTGGCCTGTGGAGCCACGAGCCTCAGCAGCAGGTTTGTAGTTTTCAGTTACATGAGTGCAGTGATGGCGGCCATGTTTGAGGAATAACTTCTTCTGAGTTTATGTAGCCAGACACAGGTTCATACACGATTCAGCTTTAAACGACTAAAACTAATTTTGTTGTTTTTGTAGCTTTTTAACAAAAGTATTTGATTACGTTTTTAAGCTCATGTGATTAAAAATAGTTCAGCTGCTGTTTGTTTGAATCTGGAATAACAATTAACTTTTCTTTCAGACATTTCCAAATGTCAGGCCTTGCAGCGCAGTTTGAAATGTGAAAATCTTTCATTCTGTGTATTTGCTGCACCCACTTGAATCAAAGAGCAACCCCACTCATTCGGCTCACTTGTGGTTCCCTGTCTCTATATATGAACACCTCATCCTGATATGAATAAATCAAAATTCTGCCTTACAGCACAGACCTGTGACAAGAACCAGAACATTTTTCTCCGAAACGCGCCAACGAGTGACGCGCAGTGACGTCATGGATTGCGGCGTTAAACAGAAAGTAGATTGATGAGTGTCAGTTTTTCGCCGTTTGTAGCTACTTGCGCTGCAGAGGATCAAACAGGTCGTGTTTCCCCGGTATGTTTTGGAGGTACCGAATAAAACTACGATGTTAACATCAGCGTGTCTCTGCTTAACTCTGCTGTTTGTCTGTGTCGTGGATTTGGCCTCTTCAGGTGAGCTCTCCTTCAGGTACTACTTTGTTTCAACTTCACGAACAAGGCTCTGAAACATTACGCTGCCTCTTAATGTAAAAGTGTTGAATCTCCCCTAGACTGTGCCTTATGTCCATGTAGTGACCGAAAAATGCTTGTTAATTATCAGAAGGATGGATTAAATCTAATAAATTAAAAAAAAAAAAAGTATACGCAGGTCGTGTAAGCTTTCTCAGGACACCTGAGTTACGGGGTGCGGTCAGGTAAACGAAAAGCCCCTGTCCCCTCCGTTCCCAATAACTTTACCCTGACTGCTAACGGCACTAAGGCAAGGTGTGTTTTTACTCTTTACTGAAATCAAAATCTTCTTTTCCTGTTTGGTTCGGTTGGTTCGTGCAGGTGTGAACACAGTAATCACACTCAGGTGCAGCAACAACCCCACCGAGACCCTCAGGAGGAGGAGGTCTCAGTGCGGTTCGTTTATGGTGTGAACGTGATCCCAAACACCTGCACGGGCGCGTTACAGGTTTGGGTTAAAACGTCCCGTTGCTATGTGTGCTTTATACTCTCAATACAAGAAGGAAGTACAGATATGCAAAGGTTACGTGAGGGTCAGCAACCAGCCCTGAAACGACTCTGTTTTCACTCACAGCACACTCACCTTCTGTGACATCTGACCAATGAGCGGGCTCAGCGTTCTCACGTGGTTTGTAGTGACGTATTTTCTCTGTGCGAAAACAAATCAAACCAGTTTACAAACTCAACAGTTGACCTGCTAACTGTAGACTCCGCCCACCGTGTCCCACCTGATCCCGATGGAGCAGAAACGGTGAAAGTTTCCCTTAAAGAGGAAGAAATGTACAGCTCTGAAATGACATCATCATAAGAACTGCAGCACAGCAACACACAGGAGCAATGTGAGGTGAAATATGATGTTCAATCATCTTCATATATTCTGATCTTCATTCAGAGGGATTCTGTGTGCAGAATCAATCATGTCAGAGATCTTTAGCCTCTGATAGAAGTGCTGAGCATCCGAATAAAACATAAATAAATAAAACAAATTGAATAAAAAATAACCACCTCCACAGGAGGAACTTCTCTCTGCCCCACAGCAGACACTCAGTCTTCAGCTCCCAGCCTGTCAAACTAGGCTGACTAAGAGTCAGCTCTCACATGTGTTTGCTGCTCTATTTGAGTGAGATTTGATCTTATTGAGATGTATAAGGAAATTAAAATGGGTATAATTTTAGCCAGGTTCTTATTTGATAAATTATCAATCAATCAATCCTTTATTTATATAACACATTTAAAGACAAAAGTGCTTCTCAATAGTAAAATTATTCACTCAGCTTTGCAGAGGTTTGGTGACTTTGTCCCAAAATAAAGTCCAAGAAGGTTTTTTTTTTCTGTCTTCTGTGTCAGCAGAGCTCACTGGTCTCTGATCCTGTCTCTGATTGGCTGCTGTAGAAGTCAAGAGTTGTACTTTGACCTTTAACCTCTCTGCTCTGTTTTGTTTCCTCTTTCAGACCAGAAAAACATCACAGCTGAGTCGGGACAGGATGTAGTTCTACCATGTCGAGTACCATCAAACAAAACCATCAGAGCTGTGAAGTGGAGCAGAGCGGACCTGGCGAAGGAATATGTGCTTTTGTACCGGGATGATCAGCTGGATCAAGACAACCAGCATCCATCTTTTAAGAACCGGGTGGATCTGCAAGACAGACAGATGAAGGATGGAAACATGTCTTTGATTCTGAAGAATGTGACGATTGAGGATGGTGGATCATACAATTGTAATATCTTCAACGGAGAGACAAGGTCATGGGAGACCATCAACACCTTCAACCTGACTGTTTCAGGTAAGTGAGTAGAGCTGAGTGTGTGTGTGATCAGAGGTGAAGCTGCTTCCTGGTTGTTGATGTTTGTTTCTAAAGATGTTGTTGATGAGACTTTGTAGAAAGCAGCTGGTCTGAGTGATGTGATCAGAGTGCAGTAGATAATGTCTGACAGCAGTTTGAAGAGGAAATGGATTCTGTTCTGTTCTTCACTCATCACCTACCTGACAGCTGACACCTCACACCTGTTTCTCACCTGCAGGTCACACGGGAGGAGACAAACAGGATGGACCTGTTGGACTGATTGCTGGCCTGTCAGTTTCTGCTGTTCTTCTTGTTGCTGCTGTTGTTGGATTTTTGATCTACAGAAAACATGAACAAGCACAGAGTCAGGATTCATACCAGCCTCCTGCTGAAACGCAGCCTGTTTGAAACGTCTCAGTTTGTTTTTATAAAAGCTGAACTCCTGCTGATCCAGACTCTCAGTACTGTTATTGTTATATGTGGAACATTCAAGACTTCATCATTCAAACAAAGAAAAGTTACATATCTGAGAATAAGATCAGTGATATTCAACAACAAAAACCATTTTATGTGACAAACATCTTTGTCACTGATGTCGACAGAAATAAGTTTGTTCACAGTGATGAATTCAGCGTCGTCTCTGTCACAATATCAGAATCAGTGAGTTTGTGTCATCTTCAGGTTCAGCTGTTTGTGAGGTCAGACTCAGACTGATCCTCGTGTTTAGATGTTACACAATAATTACAGACACTGACTGACAACACAAACACAACACAAAGTGCTCAGGGTCCATTTATCAGCTAGAACTGAGTGACTGAATAATCTGATATTATTATGAAACCAAAGAGAAATGTGTTACATGGAGCTGCAGAGTCACATGTTTCCTCTGATCTATGAAGCCTTAACTTGTTCCTCCATGAAGGAGACTCTTCAGTTTAAACATGTCAAGATTATTTATTATTGATTTTTATATGAGCTTGTTTATCGATAAAGTTTTAGTGTTGCTCTTGAATGTTTGTCTTTGCTTCCTGTGGCTGTAAATGTTTTTCTGACCTGCTGTTTGAGTGTGAGCAGATTTGATCTCACCTTGAATGTAACAATGTGAATATTTATACATTTAACCTGATGTTATTACATCCTGTGATCTGTGGAAGCTCAGTAGCGCCTCTCAGAGGTAG